CAGTTCCTGCAACTGTTCTTCATATGTTTGAGCTTCCAGTCCCCTAATCCTCTTGGTTGCTCTTTTTGCACTTTTTCTAGACTAGAGTCGCCACATCTTTTTTATAGAGGCAGCCAACATCTTGTCTGCTCCTAAATTTTGGGTCTGAAAAGAATCACACCCTGGAGGCTGGAGAGCCTCGGCTGCTATACAATCATACACAAACATACACAGAGACACACAGTGGCTTTATTCCCACAGGGTCCTTAACTAAGTTGCTTGCAGCTGCATTCACAAACTTGCTTACCCTGCCTGGATGGATCTTCAACCTGATTTGGGGTTGTTTGCAGGAGTGCTCTTAACCTTGGTGGTGGTGGTTAGCTTAACCTTAATTTATTGGGCAAACGTCGTGCATTGTTTATTTTAATTTTTAATTTTTTTTAAAAAAAAGGTTTTTTATTTTCTTGAAAGCAAACTAAACCGTAGTTTTGCAAAAAGCTTTATTTGTTCTTATGAAAATATCTAAGCAGCTGTTGTAAGGAGTATTCACTGTCCAATTTCCAATGCTTCTGTCCTTTTTTTAAAAAAAAATGTATACTTTTACGCCAACTACCCCATGGGATCGCACATGTAGCATGACAGTAATTGCAGATTGTAAATTTGGCTTCCTTTTTTCCTTGATAACATTGAAATTGAGAAGGTTCACCAGACACAGTGGGCTCCTGGCCTATAGTGCTTGATCCTTTCTCGGTATAGTAGGCAGCATGTCTGTCTAGCCGTCTTTCTGTCCTTGAAGTAAATCCTTTTCTGTCCACTGCAGTTATTTGTGGTAAGAAATGGGGGGGAAAATGTTCTGAATCATTCTTCTCCTACTAGGTTTTTCCCATCATGGTCTTCCTTTTATGTTATTCTGTCTTGTCTGCATCAGGATTCTTTTAAGCAGAATTCTGCAGAATCTTAGAGTATCATGAGACTTTGATGGGATTCAGTGGTGGGATTCAGCCGGTTCGCACCTATTCGGGAGAACCGGTTGGTAACTTTCTAAGCAGTTCAGTTCAACCGATTGTTGGAAGAAAATCTCCTTTTGTTTCTTTCCACTTTACTGGGCTAATCCTGTAAGGAAGGCAGGAAGGAAACATTCCGGTGTTGTTTCTAGCCTAATCTTTATTGCCCTGCTTACAGAAACTGCCTCTCCGGTTAACCCTTATTACATTGTAACAGCTAAGGCAAAGTGCCCATCGACCTGAGTAATGTTGAGTTGGCCATGCCCACACGGTCACATGACCACTAAGCCCCGCCTACCCACCTGGTCACTAGGGCAGAGAACCGGTTGTTAAATTATTTGAATCCCACCACTGATGGGATTCCACAAGACACTAAGATTTCCTGCCCACTCTTCAAAAATACCCTTTTTTAAAATCCCTAAGGCTTTGCCCCCTGATCAGGAGTTGTGGATTTTTTTTTAATTAAGAAGTTTCATGGTCTGAAAGAGTTTGATGTTCTAATGATAGTGATGGGGAACTTTTTCAACACCGAGCGCCCAAATTGGAACACACGTACATGCGCCTCCGAGCGCCGGAAACCTGGCTGGCTGGTGTGCGCATGCCTGTTTTTTAGACATTTTCTGTTTGTTTTTAGGGACATTTTCAGGCTGTGCTCAGGCTGTTTTTTGAATCTGGAAAAGGCTGAAAAATGGCCTAAAAACGACCCGGAAAATGGATGTTTTTTGGAGCTGTTTTCTGATGCTCTAGCGCCTGCGAAGCCCCAGCGGGCCAGTATGCATGTATGTTGAGCTGAGGTGGCGCAGTGGTTAAATGCAGCACTGCAGGCTACTTCAGGCTACTTCAGCTTTCTGCAGTTCAGCGGTTCAAATCTCACCGGCTCAGGGTTGACTCAGCCTTCCATCCTTCCGAGGTGGGTAAAATGAGGACCCGGATTGTTGTTGGGGGCAATACGCTGACTCTGTAAACCACTTAGAGAGGGCTGAAAGCCCTATGAAGCGGTATATAAGTCTAACTGCTATTGCTATTGCTATGTGCCAGAAACCAGAAGAGCAGCTGGTGACGGCACTCGTGCCCACAGAGAGGCTTCTGCGTGCCACCTCTGGCGCATATGCCATAGTTTCGCCATCACGGTTCTATGATGTGAAAAAGTCAGTTTGAGACGTCAATGCAGTTGTATGTCTGAATTTGTTTGAATTGCGATATGCTGAAAATAAATGGGATAATGATGAATCAAGATGGCTTGATCAGACTTGATATGATAACTTTAATAGCTGCTGCTTTAATTATGCAGAATAATTATACTTCCCAGATTATTATTATTTTTTTCTTTGAAAATGTTGGGATAGGTTCTGGATGCTTCCATTGCATGCGCTCTGCCCTCTTTCAAGATAGAAAAATTGTATGAAGCCTTTATTTTTCAAATTATCTACTTTCAAAATGTTATATCATAAAGGAACCCAAGTTGGAGACATTTTGTTTTTTATTCTTTTTTCATTCTCCTTATGGCAATAAAAATATTCTAACTTGCCTTTCTTAACAACAATGAAGGTGAAGTCATTTTAACAGTATAAAAATATAGTAAAATAGCATAACCAAAACATTACTGTCCAATATATACATGCTAAAATCTGCCTTCAAATGGTATAGAAAGCTGGGGGGGAACGTATGTATTTGTGTCAGGCTTAATCTTTATGCTAATAAAATTAGCAATAGTAAATGTCATAAAAGAAATAAAAAATAAAATGTAAAAAATTAATCATAGAACACAACAGTTATTTAGAGCACAATACATTAAGATCTTAGCTCAGTGACCAAATTAGAGAGATGCAAATCATCCTTTCCAGGTAGATGATAAACCACCATTTACAAACCAGTTCTGCGCTCATGGATTTTTCAAAGCCAAACTGGGTCATGTTGTGGTTTAGTGTGCCCTCAGTGTGACCTTACTGAGATAGACTGATATGATAATCAATGTTCATTTATAAGTAGTGTTATTTTAATGCAGTTTATATGTCTTGAACCTAAAAACAAATTTTTCTTCTATTATGCGCCGAGGACTACAGCTAATCCTCAATTTAACAGTTTAGTAACCATTCAAAATTAAAACAGTGATGAAAAAAGTTCATCACATGATCACAATTAGGGTACATGGCAACTGGTATGAATTTATGACGTTTGGAGTGTCATGGGGGGGGGGTCCACTTAATTACCAGTTGCAACCTTCCCAGCTGGCTTTCAACAAGTAAAACCTAGAGGGAAAACTAGATTTGCTTAATGATTCTGGGATTTGCTTAGCGACCACACGATTCTCTTAAGAACCATGGGGAAAAAAGGCAAAATCAGATGTGATCATGTAGCAATAGCACTTAGACATATATATATACCGCTTCATAATGCTTTATAGCCCTCTCTAGGCAGTCTGTAGAGTCGGCACATTGCCCCCAACAATCTGGTTCCTCATTTTACCCACCTCAGAAATCGATGGAAGGTTGAATCAATGTTGAACTGGTCAGAATCGAACTCCTGACAGTCAGTAGAATTAGCCTGCAATTCTGCATTCCAACCACTGCGCCACCACAGCTCATGTAAGGACTCAATGAACGCATTGCTTAGCAACAAAAGTTCTAGTCCCAATTGTGATAGTAAGTCGAGGATTTTGATTTTGAGCCAGTGATCATATGTCGTAGCCTAAAGAAGCAAAATACAGTACTTGACTTGTGGTTGTTGAAATGGTTTTAAAATTTATAGGCTGATTGATATGGAGAAAAAAAAAATCAGCAAGAATGCAAGACGTGTACATATATTACACCTAAGGGAAAGATGGGATAAAACCATTTACAATTTAACAACAACAACAACAACAATAATAATATACTTGCCTTCCCTTTCTCCTCGTTAGTTTTGTCTCTTTATTCTTAAAGGATGTATCATGCAGTGCATATAGGCTATCATAGTTTTGAATTATATGGTTTGGTAAGACACTATAGGTTTATATGTCTGTCTGTTTCTAATTGCAGAGAACAAACTCCAAATCTTAAGCGGTTGTACAGCAGCACCAAGATTCTCAACTGTTTTGAGGGGTGTGGATTTGCCCTTTCTTGACACAGCTATGGCAGCAGTTATGAGCTTGGGAAAGATTGCTGAAAATGGCAGCATGGCATCCCCAAATGTCAAGTCCCCACCAAAACCTCTTACTCCTAGTCGGATTGGCAGGAGAAACCAGGTAAGGAATAATAATTTATTTTTATTTTTCGGAAGAGCACAATTTCACGTGAATTCCCCTTCCCCCCTCTGCCTCCGCCTGGTTAGCTAAATTCTATCAATCTTCCCAACTAATGAGAAATGCATCGTGACCCAACAAATGCGCGCACGAAACAAAACAACAAAAGCGCGCTGACGAAACCGCTGCGACAAAAACCGCCACATCATACACGCGCCCACAACAACGCGCCGACAAAACCGCACCCACAAAAGCGCGATTTCAGTCAAGGTAAGGGTTGGGTTCAGGGTTCTGTTTAGGGTTAGGTTTAGGGTTAGGGTTATTCGGTTGTTATTACTTGTTCGTTGAAGGCGCGCTTTTGTCGGCGCGCTGCTGTTGGCGTGCTTCTGCGCTCATTCATCGGCGCGATTTCGAACTCGCGGTTTTTGTCACCACGGTTTGGTCGGTGCACTTTTGTCGAGCACGTTTTTGTCGGCGAACCGAAATGTATATATTGTATTTTGTATAAGAGCCAAGGTGGCGCAGTGGTTAAATGCAGCACTGCAAGCTACTGCTAGATCAGCAGTTCAGTGTTTCAAATCCCACCGGCTCAGGGTTGACTCAGCCTTCCATCCTTCCGAGGTGGGTAAAATGAGGACCCAGATTGTTGGGGGCAATATGCTGACTCTCTGTAAANTGGGCTAATAAGCATGAAAATTTACATCTTCTTAGATTCTTACCTTATTCCTGAGGTGATTGCGGCCCATCAGCAGAGCTGGTGGCCGATTTGGACAGTGAGGAGGTTGGGGAGGAACATGGGCCAGTCCTGGAGTCTGAGGAAGGCTCTGATAAGGGCTCTGTGTTGGAGGCAGAGAGGGGACCAGGGCCTTCTGACAAGTATCAGCTGCCTTCGGAATTGGATATCAGTGGGGCAGAAGAACAGCTGGAGCCTATTCCCAGTGTGCGCATGTGGGGAGTTGCCAGATGAAGGGAGCAGCTAAAGAACAAGGGTCGACTTGGGAGTAAGGCCACAGGTGGATGGTAAATGGTCTCTCCCATAAGGAATAAAAGAGAGTGAAAAGGGAGGGGAGCTTGCAGGAGACAATTAGTTCAATTCATTAGGGTGAAGAAGTCTGTTCCTGACTTCTTGCCAAGTATTGTCTGCCACAGAGTGGCGCTTGGAAGATATCGGCCTGGCAATTCTCCATGCCTGATAAAGGTCTATAGTTGTGAAATCTCATGAAAGACTGTTTGCTGGGACTTTGCTGGAGAGGAATTCCCTTTAACCTAAATAAAAGCGGTTTTATCAGGACGAGGAGTCTGCTTCATGATCTTGGAAAGCCTAGGTCAGAATAGAGACATACCTTCTGTGTGAATTTAGGAAGAAGACTTCAGGGAAAGCATGTTCATGAACGGTACCTTAGACATGGAATGTGCTCTCCAAGAAAGCTCCCCTAGTTTCCACACTGTCATCTTTTCTGCTCTAGATAAATGTACTTGTTTTCTCAGTATTTTGCATTGTATTAGCTTAGTGGTGGGCTCATAAATGCTTAAGAATTGGCCCTGTTGCAGCGGTGGGTTCTGGATCCCATTCCAACTGGTACAATTGGAACCGGCCTGGCATCGCCTACATGGATGCGTGCGACGCGCATGCACGCATGAGTGGTGCGTCCATGTGTTATAGCTGCAAACGATGCTTCCACAAGCCTCCGCGACGCTCCAGCTGCTCGGCGGAGTGTCGCGCAGGCACTGTACTCGCCATGCACATGTGCGGAAGCGCCGAAAGTTTTAAAACATGGTAAGGAGCTCAGACGGGTGGGTGGGCCCTCTATAGCACTGTACCGGAATGGTATCTGGTGCTCCGGGCAGGCTCCGGTACTCCCGTACCAGGGTGTACCGCCTACAACCCACCACTGCCCTGCTGACTCCATAAAACAGATGATTGGCCCAACAAGCTTAGAGGTTCAGCTCTGCTCAAAGCTAGATTACACAATTTCACAAATAGTTCTTGATGACCTGGTAGGAGCCCTTCCAGCACACAACTTTTTCAGTGCGATTGTAACTTTGAGCAGTCATTAAATGAATGGTTGTAAGTCGATGATTACCTGGACACCCGTCCAGGTAATCCTCCACTTACAACCATTTGCTTAGTTGTCATTTGAAGTTATGACCACTTCCCACACTTGCAACCATTNCAGTAAGGGTATGGCTAGCTGATGAGAGCTAAATAGCTTGAAATAGATCTATACTAGTCTCCCTTTATTTATTTATCAGGACAAATACAACAAAACATACATACATACATACATACATACATACATACATACATACATACATACATACATACATATATAAAAACATCAGCCTTTAGGCTGAAAAGGCTTTCCTTTTTTAAAACAACATATGCTTTTTTCTGCCTCTAAAGACACTGGCTGCGTATTGTTTACTCTGGTTGTAGAAGCAAAATCCTTTATTTGGGATGCGTCTGCTTACCCTTTCTGAAGCAGAACAACTTCACAAAAACTTGGGCACAGTTTTTACAGTGCACAGGCCTTCCCTGCATTTACATGCCGTCCATCACCATGATAAGTCTGTCGTTTGTAGCTTATAATAGGCCACCTTTTCAGCCAAACAAAATTTGTATCCCAAATGGATGGAACTTATGAAAGATGCAATAAAGCTTCCATTCAGAGCTACACACATATTTATAGACCTATAAATGAGGTTTAATACCATTGAGAAGTCACCATAAAATAGCAAAAGACTTTATCCAAGTCTATACATCATGCGAAGATCAATGTGGCAGGCAACAAACCTGCATTTTGGCAGCAGATAACGTGGGTATCTGCACTTTTAATATACAAAACACGAACCATGTTGGAAAGAAATGGAGTTGGAACAGGGAGTGGTAGAAAATATTTTATTGCATAAAGTCCTCCAAGTGGTTCTTTCAAAGATGAATAACAGACATTCCATTTGTTTTTGTTTTTAAATAAACTAAAATGTAGATTCATGTTCTTTGCTTTAACAGTTTGTCTGATTTTGCTATAATGAAAAGTTAGTATGTGTTTTTTAGATATTGATGTGTTTGTTTGGAACGATGGAAAATACTTGCCTCTAATAATAGGTTAGGCTGCTTGGATAGGTTGCTACTAGAGAGTGCTTGTAATTCTCCAGCCCACAAACAGATTCACACGTTTCTATAGAAATAGGGATACTTTGAGGGCACCAGATAGCAGTGGGAACACTGCAGGAGGATCCCTGCAGCTTCTTTGTTCTTTTTTTTCTGTGATTTCAAATTATTTATTACCTTTTATAGGATATTTCCTTAAAATCTAAGTAGCCTGAACTTAGCAGTTAGCAATAGCAATAGCAGTTAGACTTATATACTGCTTCATAGGGCTTTCAGCCTTCTCTAAGCGGTTTACAGAGTCAGCATATCGCCCCCACGGTCTGGGTCCTCATTTCACCCACCTCGGAAGGATGGAAGGCTGAGTCAACCTTGAGTCGGTGAGATTAGAACCATTGAACTGCAGATGACAGTCAGCTGAAGTGGCCTGCAGTACTGCACCCTAACCACTGCGCCACCTCGGCTCTGTATATTCTTCAATATGTCAGACTTTGCCTAATTCTTATGAGCCAATAGTTACAGTTCAGAAGATTTGGCTTAGCTTAAAACTTGTTGCTTTTCACTTTGCCCTCCACACCCATCAGTTAATTTCATTTGGAGGCATCTAATACAGCCGTGCTTCCCTGGCCCACATAGTGCTATCAATCATCTTTATCAGACTCTGTACCCTTGAGTCTTGGATCAACGTTACCTCAAATCGAACAACTTCTATGACCGACCTGTTTAACAAAAGTTATAGGCTGCCTGCTATCTATCTATCTATCTATCTATCTATCTATCTATCTATCTATCTATCTATCGATCGATCGATCGA